TGTCCTTTGTTGTTACACCTGAAGTCGCTGAAGTCACTGAAGATTCTTGTTGTGTTGCAACGTGTCCTCGTTTCGTCTTTCATAACTTTTGCGGCGCAATCTTTTGCAGAGAATGTTGTCCACGTCTCCCGGTTAGCAACTGCCGTCTAGTGGTAGCAAACGGCGTCTGTCAGACGCAGCAGATCGTTGAAAACACCTGCAGAAAACGGTGCTGATGGGTGTTGACCTCGTAATTTTTGGGTCCGCGGTTGCAGTATCTCCCAATCAGTTGCCACGGAATGAATGCCGTCCATGGGTGACGTTTTAGTCCAGTGGTAGGAAACATGGCTCCCGTGTAAGTGCAGTGGTAGCAATTAGCGTCCATCAGACGTTCAGACTCGTGGAAAACACCAGAAAAAGCGTCTTTGTTGGGTTTATAACTAGTAGGCATGCGCAATTGTGATTGTAGTATCTTCGTGACTCCACTAGCTGCAATCCTTGCCACCATTGTGTTTGCACGCTTGAGGTGCTTGCTTTCCAAGGTCTCATCATCTCTCTAAGGTATCGTCGACTCTGGTGGCGCTGCTCTGATCGTGACATAGACGAGGGTGCGTCCTGAGCTTTCTACTTTTTCATTTGGTTTATAAATTGCGAGGTGACTAGATTGTGAGTAGTTTGGTGGTGTCCTCGCTGGATCCAGATTTTGCAGTTGACGATCTATGCTCGTCTGAACGGCGATGAGTTCTAGTGCCGCTGGAGGCTGTTTCCTGTACAACTCGTCTACCGTTTGCTTGCCGAACTTTAAAAGCTGTTGTAGCTTCTTCAAATGCGACTGAGACGTGTGGGTGTACTGGATCTGTAGATTGTATCATTGGCCGGAGGTTTACAGTTTTCTCACAGTGATTTTCATCCTTTGATATGTGCGAGCACCAGATGGCTACTCATTTCACATATCATCTGGTGCTCGAACATATCATTTGGTGCTCGCACATATTTGATATTTACGAGCACCATAATCGTTTATGGGCGTGTGGTTCAGTATCACACAAGTTTTGATTGACAGGATCGGCGGACATGCGTTGGAAGAGCTCACCACTGTGTCGTTTGAATACAATTTCGTTTGTTTCTGAAACAGGACAGACCCTGTCGATTTTCTGATTGGGATCGCGGACTTGATGAAGGTATGGCCATGAGAACTGAGCACATCCCTCACTCAGGAGGTTTGTTACAAGGAGTGGTTGCGATCAGCAGCCGATGTGCGGCGGACCTGTTCGAAGCCACTGCCTGTATCTGTGTCTGGGTCATTCGGCGTTGTGTTACAGGCTTGGCTGGTGCTTACGAGTCAATGCAACGTTGGAGAAAGCATTCACTTACTACGCCGCTTGCCGGGATGTGGGATATCGATGCGGGTTTGCATGGTCCCGCAATTAGGCGGGCAGAGATAGGCGATATGTTTCCACCCCTGGTGCTCGAGGATGGAGAGTTGGCAACGGATGTTTAATTCGTTGTTTAAGACTGTCGGTGTGTTCAATTCGATGGGCGACGGATGTTTAATTGTAGTATCTATTGAACTTACACTAAACTAATATCAAAGAATTTAGTTTAAAAATTAATTTGTATGAATAAATTAGTGGCAAGAGCATCTATTTTGCTATCATTGATACTTATGATGTCAATGTGGTTATCAAAACGAAGGCTCTATTGGAGAAGAAATGATAAATTGCACTTGCTTAAAGCAAATTCTATACTTATGAGATAATGAAATCAAAGTAATATTTTTTCTTCAATTTCAATTTTATGCTTCTTAAAAAACTTTAGTATCATTTTTGACTCTAATGTCAATTGGATCCTTCTCATCATACTTAGTTGTAGACTTTACTTTAGTCTCAGATTTGAAATTCTTCTCTACTTCAATATTGTATTCCGTAACTCTACTCTTAGTACAGAAAAGCTCATTTTTGTCCTCAGATTGATGCTTGGCATCATCTTTAATGTAATTTTTTTCTTTACTGTCAATATTACTTCTATCTTTATCATTAGAATTTATCTCTTCAATATCAATGTGATGCTTTCTAACATCCTTTGTTTCAAGCTTCACTCCATCTCTCAACATTGAAATCCTTCTCTTCTTCCTTGACCTTAGAATGCTTCTCTTCTTTCTTAACCATTGAATGTTATTTACCATATTCAACTAAGTGTTGATATGCATCACATGTTTCATGCTCCTTAAAATCCTTAGTTTTAGGTTTCGTTACATCTTCCACCTTTGAATGCATTTCTACAACTTTAATCTAAAATTATTCATTATCATTGTGATGTTTTTTTAGAACATTGATATTAGGTTGCTTATATTCATCATTAACAAGAATATGCCCTCATGTTGGGCGGTTTTTATGATTTGCACACAAATCATGGACTATGCAAATGAGAGAAATAATGGTGCATTAAATTTCTATATCTAAATTTATAAAGGCTTATTGGGAGGGGGAGTGTATTTTCTTTTTTCATGTCAATATACTTGCATGATTTCAATAAAATTCTTAGGCACTGCAAAACAATAGAACTTAAATGGGTAGTAGGAAGTTGGAGAAGAAGTCTAGGACTCGTTGCTGAACTAGGAACAAAGTTCAATTTTTTTGGGAGGCTCTTTCTAAAAACCGTGTCCATTAATTAGCTAGCAAGATTGTTGAAGGAAATTACTTGCCTCATAATCTCACAATTATAACAGATGTTAGTCTTCACACAACATCAACTAGCCAATTAGAGACCTCAATTTGATTTGGGTGCCAATATAGTAATTTATAATGTGTGTGTAGCAATTTAGGGTGTGTATTTAACAACTTGGGATGTGCTTATAACCTAAGCCTTAAAAATACATATTATATATGATGAATGAATAGATAGATAGATGCATAAATATATGTATGTTTTTATTTGTATTACAACTTATTTTATAGTTAAATAAATAAGAATGTTTTAATTACAATACTTGAAGGATGGTTGAAGAAATTGGATTTGGAATTTGGTAATAATATAAACAAGCAAATGAACTGCACTAAAGCACTTATTCTAAAAATTCATTCTTTTAATAAAACATTATTGAGTAACAAGTTAAATTAATATGCATAACATTTATAACAAATATTATTTTTTAGTAAACTATTAAATAATTATATATTATTGGATAAATATATATATATATATATATATATATTTGATTAATTAAAATATATTGTTGGAAATTTTTACTTTTTTTAGTCTCATTGTATTTTTTTTATCTATGTAACTCAAGGATTATCTGTGAAAAATATTTGTATGATTATCCAAATCATACTAGATATAGTGTGTCTAGAAACAATATATTATATAATTATAAAATTATTCATCTAATTTATAAAATCATGTATAAAAGAAAAAGATATATCTTTTTATATGCATATAAAAAATATATATGTATATATATATATATATATATATACACACAAACATGAATAATTTTCATTTGATACAAAATAAAACTGTGCAACTTTTTTGTATGGTCGTTCAATATTCAATGATAGAGATAAACATCTAAACTTCATGATTGGAACCTATTAATCCATATATATTTAATAAAATAAATGTTTTAGTAAGACTCAATCTTGTTTTAGTAAAATACCATTAAATATAAAGATGTATTTCTCTATTTCCTTTTGGCTTTTATTGTTTCTCTATTTCCTTTCAAAATATAAAAAATATTGTTTTTATTTTAATGTAAATGTAGAGTTGTAAATGTAGAGTTGTAAATGTACTGCAAAGATACATTATGAGATCTCAAGGCTTTTTGTGACAATAAAAGTTTTTATACTTAAAACTTGCTCCAAACAACTTGTTTTGAAATAATTGGATGTCTATTTGGAATAAAGACATGACTGTGAATTTGGATTTAGCATGTAAATTCTTACTCTACTCTCTAAGTGGTGTTATAGAATAGTATAAGATTGCCGTTTGAGAGGCTCTAAAAGTGTTTTTGGATATTTTCCTAGTCACCTTGATAATTAAAAGATCCTTGCTATGAACACTATATCAATGTTAAAAGAGTAACATAGCATATTAAATCTAAGCAAAGAAATTTCACTTAGAAGTGGTATCACAATTGTAAAAAGGTCAAAGTAGAAATGTGTTTTGAGGTGATTGGATTGAAAAAATACATTTTTTTTTAAAGGCAATATGTTAAAGCAAGTTATTGACATATAAAAATATGAATAAAATAATGTATTATAATTCAAATGATGTGACAAAGAATCGAAACAAATATGTATAATTCTGATTATGTTATTTAATTATCATGAATACATAATTAACACATATATCAAATAAAAATTTATAAAATTCAATTAGAAAAATTCTAAAATTCTAAAATAAAGAAACATATCTTAAAAATTTCCACATTCTAACACAACTGTCTTACACTGTAATCAATTTCTTCTTATCAAATAACCATGTTTTTTAATATATATATATATATATATATATATATTAAATAGGATGTTATATTATGTTTCTGGTTTTCATTTTTTATTCCATTATATTTCTAAAATAAATATACCTTCATAAATTTAATATATTTTTTAATTATTCAATTATTTTTTATTACAAACAACCACTTCTAATATGTAATTTGTGATTTTATACTATTTTAAATTTATTATTTTTATATAATTTATATTTTTTACGTTTATAACAATCGGAATGCTCTTTCAAAAATTATTGAAACACTTTTGAATAATTCTTGGCTTTACACTAATATTTTTTCAACTAAATTAAAACAGAGCCATCCAGGTAACTTTACCTTTTTCTACGGAGATGGATGAAAAGTAAAAAGGAACTGTTATTCCAAAAGCTACCGAATGTTGGCTCTGATGCGCCAGCTGGCGAGTGAGGCAACGCATATCCTGTAATAATCCACCATGTGGCTTCGGGAGCGGGATTCATCGGGGCTTAGTCTGGACGGGAACCCAGACCGACCCGGCTCGGCCCGGCCCGGCCCGAGAGGTGCTGTGGAGGACTGTGTGCCCACACTTGCGCTTCGCAAGGGGAGGAGGAGCTTGGGTCTCTGTGCCGAAGGATTTGCCGCTCTCTCTCTCATTCTCTCTATGTGTGTGTTTCTCAATCTGGATCAATTCAATAAATCCTTCTCTTCAGTCGGTGTATCTCGATTTCACCGAGGTTTTTCTCTGTGTGGCGAGCGATTTTTTTATTATATTTATTTGTGTTGGGATTTGGAAACAGAGATTTGGTTCCGTGAAGATATGTCATAGATTGTCGTAAGGAATCCTGAATTCAAGCTCTTAGTAGAAGGTCGAGTTGGATTTGGAACCCGCGGAGTGTTTTTTGAGGAAGCGGGATGGTTTTCTGAAACGGGATTGCATTAGGAAGGTTTAGGATGAGACACAAGTACCTAGGGCAAGAGTTCTAGACTTGAAGCATGCAAGCTTCAGCAATTGGGGCCTTTGCCCCGGTGGTGCTACTATGTGGTTAGTCGCTCTTCATCCTGCTTCACTTTTTTTAGAAACCGTGGAGATGATCGCCATTATAACTTCACTGAATAGCCGCTTTTGAGAATTCAATCCCCTGATTGGGCACTTTATGTTGCACTTCTGCTGTGTTTTTAGGGTTAAAATTTAAACCTTAATTCGCTTGTCGATTTTTTTGTGTTTTTAAACGATTCAAAAGCTTGATCACTTGGATGATGCGCAGCTGCCCTTGGAAGTTGGAGTTTGATCTCCTCGTGCTTCCTTATTTCCTTCTTCGTGGTCCAATTCAAGATTCAGCGGCGAGGTATGCACGCGCTTTTTTCGTCTTCTACATCTAATCGTTCATGCTTACAATGAATTTTGAATTCTCGGTCACGCTCATAAACTATTCTGAAGATTACATTTTTGAGCAGAGGCATGTATTCAATGCTGCTCATGGTTCGAAAACTTCGATAATAATGTCATGTTTCTATAATTTTCGGTAGAAAATTGTCACCCCCAGTTTCTTCTGGTTGTGGGCGCATAATTGTACAACCTACGGATAGTGCTCCATGTTATTTCTAGTAAGCAGTACCCAGTTGAATCTCGCTTCAAAATTCAGGGCATCATCAATATGAGCTGAAACAACCAAAACGTAGAATGCTATGAGGTGTTAATATATGTCCTAGTCCACTCCGAGTTTTTTGGTTATCGTTGCGTGTATACAATAACTTGTGATAAAAGAATTAGAAATTAACGATAGTACCTGTAGATCAGTTCCATTACTTGCCGTTGAAATGAAAATCTCCCTTACATCTTGTTGGTTACCTTTCAGGTTTGACTCGTCCAAGGTCAGGACTATGGATGTCCGTGGTGTTATTGGCCACTATCGTAATTGTGGTCGAGGGATTGGTGGCCATTGGATGTACGGTCTTCGGTGCGGAAGGGAGCTTCTTAGATTCGCAATGGTTGAAGGTTTTAGGTTTAGCCAGGTAGGAATTTTGTAAAAGTATTGTATATGTGTTGTTGATATAAGTTTTCGAAGTTTATAGCGTTTTCACTTACTACTTGCGATATTTTGGATATTATATGGTTTTTAAACTTCTACCCGTGCGTAACTTCTGATGTTACTGAATTTTTTTTCTGATGTTCCACGCAGTCTGAATCCATGGGAAAGCAGCTCAGAAGTGTTTTTGATCATGGCTCCGCAGTTTGCTGTAGCTTTAACAGCTGCATGTGCCTTGTATCATGAGCAACATTCTACAATGTCGGGGTCTGCGCATGCGTATTATGGTACATGGCAATAATTTTATGAAAGAAACTGAAAATTCTTATGTTATTTGTAAACAAGGTTTTTAATCTCTTCTTCTCCGGGTAGTTATCCTTCAATTTTCTAGAATATATCTACAAATCAGTTGTGCCCTTCTGGGGATTATTCAGTGTATAAGTTAGGCGTTTGTCCCATGTTGTACTCATGGTCATGTTTTCGAATGATGAGTGAAGCTATGCAATCTTCTCGCATGCGTTTACGTTGTGTTGTCTAATGGGGTTTGACATCGATTATCTGGAAAAATCGGACACTACTATGTTACATTTGGGTCTAAAGTCAAAATTTGGCCTGAATGAGTGCAGACGAGGATACGTTTCACTGGAGAGCCAATTTGATAAGCTTTGTCTTGCCCACTGTCCAGCTGATAGCGGGAGTGGCTCGTCCATCTTGGATTGCTCTTCCTTACTTTATTTACAGTTGTGCTGGACTCCTTCACTGGTCCATGACGAGTAACTTCGTTGGACTTGCCCGGTATCTACTTACCTGTTACTTCGATTAGAGTTTTATAGCGATGTGCATCTTCTTACCATCATTCTTAATGAACGCAATGCGGATTAACCTGACTCTGTAAATCCGCCACACGAAGATGTGTTATCTTTTTTTCGATTTGCTAGGAAACACGCAGAGTTGTTTATTTTACCGTTGTATAAGGTTCAGGGCACTTCCTGTTATGTAGTGTTATGTCATTATAGTGGTGATGTTGAAGGATTGAAAGGAAGGAATATTTACTTCTAACAATATCCTGTTTTGCCTTCATTACGCTGTTTGAGCGTTCTAAGAGCTATGTTTATTCGTAGATGTTGCTTTGCTTTTTCACTTGTGCTATTCCTTTGCTTGTGAGTGCCTGGAATTTCACAGTTTCCCATTGTAAGTCTTTAGCGTCTTCACAAACTCTACTGGACGATTGCTTATTTTTCTTGTTTCGTCCTGGTGGGCTGTAGGGGATGGAGGCCTTTGATGTACTGTACAGGGATGCACATTATGCTACAGTACCTGTATCAACTTCCTATCTCATTCCCTCAGGAACTGCAGGATGCTGCTGAGTACATAGGTCTATTCAAGTGTTCGATGTTAGAAATGGGGTGGCCTGAGGCTGTTCAGAGCTTGGCACTAATTGCCTTCTTCATGCTGGTTTGTTTCATGCGAAGACATTGTTTTTGTTAACTTGATTCTCCGAATTTATTTTTTCTCAATGGCTTCTATTCGTATGGGTATTTCCTAGAAGTCCTCAGAATAAGCATATCTAATTAAGATACTTTGGTTCTAACTTCATAAGACAACAAATTCAAACAAGATCTCAATGAGGCAAGCACAATCACAGAACAAATGCATGTGGACAAATGAAAGTACTCAACAAATCTGATTGACAATGCTAACTCTTCTGATTGGTGGACGTTTGCATTGGCAGCTGTGCGTTGCTGTAAACGATTTGGATGAGGATCGTAGACAACAACTTGCTGAGAGTAGAGACACTTTACCAACAACCTACAGTCGCAGTGCTCGGTCATTCACTTATGGTGGTTCTGAGAGTGACTTGCTTACAGAGAGCCTCTTGCACTCCGATCAAGGTTCTAGTCATAGAAATCAAGGTCCCGGCCACAGGGAATCACTGTAAGTGTAGACTATCGTGTTCTTTCATTTGTCTACATGAATTTGTTCTGTAATTGAGATTGCCCTATTTAGATTTTGTTTGGATTTGTTGTTTTGTGAAGTTTGATCCAGAGGGCGTTGTACTAATCTAAGTCTTTTGGTGCAGAAACTCAAGGAGGTGGGTTATTGAGCAAAGGCGAATACTCGCTTGTCAACATGCTACAATAAATTTCTTCACCTATGGTTTTCCTGTAAGAATCTTTGGCTTCTGGCCCTGACTCTGACGTGGTCATTGAGGGCAAGCTGCTGTGAATTCGTGGATTCATGTCTTTATTTTCTTTTTTCTTCGCATTCCTTTTCTTCAGCATTTTTGGAAATGTTTCATCGTCGCCGTTTAAAGTCGCTAGAACAAAATTAGCAGGCTTTACAGCTGGATGGAAGAAGGTATTTGTTTGTAAACTCTCGTTTTTGTATTTGAAAAGCTGCAGTTTGTACATGGAGTTAGGATTTGAATGTGTGCCATTATGTGAATGACAGATATGTATGGTGGCGCTGATTGGTTGGAGCTTCGTTTATGCGAGCCTCTGCGCATTTGCTTTGCTGTTGTATGTGGGCTACATTTTCTTTGCCTTTCCTGCAGCTAGCACTCTGCAAAGGCTCAATCCAGTACTGCTTGGCTTCATCCTCCTCTATGCCTTGACTACGTACTTCTTCAATGCTGCATTTTCTATAATGAAGGCCAAGTTTGATCTGGTATATGCTTTTCCAGAAGTGCTTGGAAATCGATGTTTTGGTCTACAAATTGATGGCTGTTATCACTTCATTCATCAGGATGAGTCTCGTTTTCTAAACTAGAAATTGGCCATGAACTGTGTTGTGATAGTACATTTTGAAAATGTTATTTGATAGTGGAAGTAGGGTAAAACAATCTGTAAGGTTGAATGTTTTTTGATCAGTAATTTGAGGTCTAATTAACATACACGTTGAGGTGATGGTTCCATCTACCTTATGTATACTATCTAGTCTTTGAATTTGTAATGTATCCTCTGCAGGGTACGGAGATCTGGCACTTAATCGGGTTGTGGCACTACTCCACTCCTGGACTTTTCATCTTCGCTCAGTATGCATTGGGATTGCTTCTTGCAACAGACATCTTTGTCAGCAACAATATTTTACATAACTTGGGCGACCCAGAAAGCCCAAATGGAGAAGACGCGAATGGCTTGCTAGAAGAAGGTCAACGTTGTGCCTCTTTCATATTGTGAAGCATGTCATCTTGATTCTATTTACTCTTCGTGATATGTGTTTTTGTACTTTTCTATTCTTGTGGTTTTTATTTTCAAATTTTAATGATCATACTTTTAAACTAAATTCTCTTGATATCTCGTGGTTTTAATTTTGCAGGTCGTCAAGATATTAAGCTAATGGTGTTAGCAGTAGTGGCATGGTTTGTGCGTAGAAGTGCCCATGTAATATCGCTGATCCTCATCTTCAACGTGGGCATGAAGGGTGGTTTGCTGCATGCCGTTTACAGTGAGTATTGTTGCTTGTCTATTTCTGTGACTTGTTCAAAACTGTGCGACAATCATTGCGCTGCTTTTACTAAGTCTTTGATTTTGAAGTGAAGTATTTCAAGTTATTTCGCTGTGAGTTCTATGAAAAACTTTTGAATGTTTCGAAGGTTATATAGATTATTATTTGTTGTTCTCAAATTTTCTTCAATCATGTTACCACTATTGTATTGTGTTGAGCCAGTTGTGTGAGGTTACAATTGGTGCAAAGCTTCTACCCATTGCAGATAACTGTGAGAGACTTTGATTGGTGTCTGGAAGAAGCATTCATGTGTGTGGTTCATTGCAGTGGGATTTTTCCTTTCTTACCTGCTGAGTTCAACGGTGGCCAAGGCATCCAGACAATCTCTGATCCTGCTGTGTGAGGTGCACTTTGCAATCCTCTATCTTCTACGCCTGGATTGGATATCAACACACCTTGCTGACAATGCTGGAATGCTGAAGCCCTTTCTTTCTCTTTTAGGTTTGAGTTTACATTCTCCTACATCCGTATTTTAACCATTGAAATTTTACGCACGATGAGTTAAATTAATCATTCATCTGTAAAGATTTTTTTTGCTGTTTTCATTAAATTGTGTATTTCAGTGGCTTCTTTTTTGTTTCGTTAGCTCAGTTGTGATGCTTGTGCGCAGGTGTATGGCACAAATCCAATTTCGAAGAGTTTTTGAGCATAGCGGTATTATTGGTGTTCTCATCTGTCCAGAATCACGGGCTCAAGGTTGCAAGCTCGTTGTCAGCTACAGTTCAGCAGAGCCCTCAACCACCACTTGGATGGGGAATCTTTAAAACTGGAAATGGACGCTCAATTCTATTATCTGTGTATGCCTCGTCGAATTTCAACCATTTACAAGAAGAAAGTGATGCTTCAGGTACAAATTCATGCAGTTTGATTTACGGCGATCTGATTGCTATTCTATAGTGTATTGTGTTTCATGATGCTGGTGGATATCGTCTATTTTTCAAATTTATCTAGGAATAATCAATATGCTAAGGTAGTTTTTTCCTATTTCAATCGATCCAATGAGATTTGTGGGAACAGTGAACTGTGTTTTGTTTACGTTTCAATATTCCTTTAGTCTACGTTTCTACTCAGGCTAAGTGAGTCTTACTCTTTCAGTAGTCTGCGACATTTACTCTTACCTTCTCCTACCTGGTTTTGCTGCCAACAGCTCATTGGATCACACGCTTCCTTGCTACGACAGCAGAAAAAGTGAGGCATACCTATCATATGTTCAGCACGTACATTGCTTATGGAACAGTACTCCTGGTGGTCTATAGCGTCGATCAAAATTATGTTGCCTTTGGATACCTCTGCCTACTTTTATTTTGGATTGCTGGGCGCCAGGTGGTTGGGAGAACAGAAAAGCGTCTCTGGTTTCCGCTTTTGATGTATTCCGCTGCCGTCTTTGTTGTGCGCTACACCTTGAGTGCCTTCCCTATCCTGCATCACTATGTCGATGTACGGGTATCACTTCGTCTTTACCTTGGATTTGATCCTGCGGCGTCACTGTTCCAACATCTTTGGGATCCATTGGTCATTCTCATTGTCATGGAGATATTCAGCTTTGAGCGCAGCCAGAAATTTTTTGCGCCAGAGGATGCTGAGGAAGGAGCTTATGAAGTTGATTCCAACTTAGGACTTGTAGCTTTTGTAAAGCGGCTATTGATTCTTCACACAGGAAAGCTCCTTTCTGTAGCCGTGTTTTATGCGGCTTTAACTCCTGTAAGCGCACTGGGGTTCTTGTATTTGGTTATGCTTGTTGTTACTTGTAACATGTCCAAGACTTCCTCTCTACCAGGCAGAACATATGTTCTCTACACATCCTTCATCATCATAGTTGAGTACCTGTATCAGATGTGGGGTCAGGATGCAGAGATGTTTCCAGATCAAGCACATGGCGAATTTACCTATTGGCTTGGTCTAAGAGTATTCGAAACTGGGTTCTGGGGTCTGGAGTTAGGATTGAGGAGCCGAGTGATTGTATTAATGATGTGCATTCTAAAATGCACTACATTAGGATGGCATGAGCTCTTGCCAGCTTCTCTTCGTGTGGATGAGCATTATGGAGAACCCTGTTTACTCTTTCTTCCCCAAGGTCGGCGCGTTGGTAGTAGCGTACGTCATTCTGGATTAACTGAGCCGTTGCTTGAAAAGACTCAGAAAAGAGTAACTGCCTCTGAAAAGCAATCGGTTGTGAGTGGCCAGAGCTTCCATTCAACTTCCACTTCTGAATCAGACTCAAGTTCTTCTTCAGTCGTACGACCTAAGCTATCTGTACCAATCAACAGTGGTACTGAATCCGGTGGGCGCCCAAATCTGGAGTCCCCATGGGGGAGTCTTTCGGAAAACAGAAAATGGACAAGAAGAGGCATGCTTTTATTAAGACAGGTATGGTCTCCCTTGTATCTTTGTGAATGTATATATTTGAACACCTATGTTTTGAGGTATGATATGGTTTGTTATCAGATACTGCTCTAGCGTGGCTTTAACTTGCTGCAGCAACAATATATACTAGAATTTTAAATTTATTATCTCTTAGTGTCGGTTAACTCCATCTGCATTGTGTGTTCAAGTAACATGACGTTTATATTTTGAACAGGAAAGATACGAAGCACAGTTGCGAACATTGGGCATAATTTTCAAGCACAGGATAGAGCACTTTTGTCAGCTCTATGGACTCGAGCTCAGCATGCTTGCGCTATTGCTGTCTAGCTTTGCCCTTCTCAACGTTTTTTCACTCTTCTACATATTCATTTTAGCTCTTTGCATCCTTTTACCAAGACGAACGCTGAAGATACTATGGCCGTTCTTTGTGGTTCTATTTGCATGTGTAATGGTTACTGAGTACGCTGTTCTTGGCGGATCACCTCCGCCATGGCGAGTGTCCTCTCTACATGCACCAGAGCCACACCTTCAATGTGTTCAATGTTGGAGCAGCTATACCAGTCACAACTTTTTTTGCTGGCAGTGTTGGCTGGGTATGTGGCTTACGTTAACCTTGTTGCATTATGTACCTTCTTAAGTATAGCTTGTGTTAATCTTGCATGTTTAGGTGCAAAGAGAACCGATGCTTATTAAACAACAGTCTACAAATATATGTTGCCTCGAGAAAATGAGTTTGATTTTTCTTAAGGTGATCAAGTGAATTGATTTGTTTTCTGGCAATTTCCGAGGTTATCTTTCAAGTGTTTTGTCGTTGACAAACTTTTTTTTTTTTTTTTTTTTAAATTTTTTTAAATTTTTTTTAAATTTTTTATATCAAGGAAGTTAACCACAACAGGGCGTCATATTTAGATGAATTACATCTTGAAGCTCTGTTTTTGGGTTTTGACGAGCAAGTATTCTTTCATTTTGGCAGGGCTTACAATTGATGATCGTCAAATGCTGGTGGCACATTTTGTGGTTTTTATAGTATCATGCTTCCAATTGCATGCAAATATGGCAGCTGGAATGTTGGATCCGCGCTCATTACATGCTGTTATTTTACCTGCAAGTGATAGATTGGCTTGGAAGGAGATATCATACGAAACTACTGCGCAGTGGACGTGGCTCGATTACTTGCGATTTGCCTTCTATCGCCACCTCCTTCATGTTGTCCTTGTGCTCGTTTTCATAACTGGGACACTGCAGTATGATGTTCTTCACTTGGGATACCTCGCGATGTCACTTATATTTTTTCGCATGCGTGGCACAATCATGGAACGACGTAACTCTATATTCCGTTTCTTGAGATTGTACAATTTTATTCTCATAGTTGCTTCATTGACCTATCAAGCACCCTATTTTGGCTTTGCGGGTGTGCAAACATGTACATTGCCTCAGGGTCTGCTCAGCTATATCGGACTCTACAAATACGACCATGGATTTCGTATCACGGAAAGGTCCGCACTGGTTGACATCACTATCTTTTGCGTAGTCGGTCTTCAAGCGCATATATTTAGGTCCCGCGAGTTTGAGCAAGTCTTGCGCTATCTTGAGGCTCAGCAAGTGGAGGCACGCGCACATGCACAGGTGAAAATTACGATATTTATGAGCTTTTTTTGTGATAATATCAGTGTTAGGTGTATGCTGAAGATTTGAAATACTAAATCAGTTGCATGTTGTACTTGTATTCGCGGTTGTATATGTGTATTACATGAACATTTCTCTTGGTACTCGGCCAGCAGTTCGTTGTAGTTGCATATTATTTATGTTTCCAAATGGATCTTCATGTGTTTGATTCTAATCCTGCGATTTGAATGTATACACTCAAGTGGTCCATGCAATTTTTATAAAATATATTTAATAATGTTGCGGGAACAGCATGCAACTATTGTTTTGTTTATAATTTTGCTTCATGAAGTGACAAGATTTCATGGTTTGGCCATTGATGCTTTTGAATTGGTACTTGATCCTCGATCATAAATAGTGGAATGATTCCTCTCTTCATACAATTATTGAACGTTTCGTCATGTCAAGGTATTGTTGATTTTTAATGACAAGCATATGGAAAATTAGGTGGGTTTTCAGTTTAGCAAATCACATTACTTGCCATCTGATTTTCAGGAAGACAAGGCGGAATGGAAGAAGGAGCAGCTACAGAGGATCCGAGAAATGGAAGAACGGAAGCATCATCGTCGTGTACAAGTTGACAAGATGAAGCATGATATGCTTCACATGCAACTGCGATTAGAAGTTCTTGATTCAAGTGGGCCTCAGTTCGAGCTTGCTGATCGGAAAAAGAGTATTCAACCTTCAGCTTCTCCCTACTCTCAATCTCCTCGACCCCTAGTTGATACCCCTAGAGTTTTGGAGCGTATTGCATCTGAAACTGCTGCAACTAGGGGTCCTGATGCTGGTACAGAGAGGCGACTAAGCTTTGAGAAGGATCCTACACGTGTAGGGTACGTGGATCGTGAATCCGACGAAAGTGATGCTGAGGTCAAAGGCGTTCGACGGAGAAAACCTGTCATTAAGAAAAAATCGAGGAGTTCTGAAGATGCCCTTGCTACTGAAAGGCAAGAGAAACTTCTGGGGAGTCAACCAGGCGATCACCGGAAAACTGGGTCTGACGTAAGTTTTGAGGGAAAACATCAATCCAGGCCAGTTCTCATGTCAGGAGTTCAGCTCTTAGAGGAGGGTGTTGCTCAGGTTCAGAACCTTGGAAACAAGGCCCTTGCAAATCTTGTTGGACTCTTGAACCTTGAGAATGAGGATGATAGCACAGAAGGGTCTTCTACAGAAGAAGAAGCTCACGTTCCCGCTGAGAAGGAGGAGATCACTATTCAAGAATTGGTGGACAATTCAAAGGTTCCACCTAAAGTTTCAGTGGATGAAATGTCTCATCAACAATCTCAGTACATGAACGAGACTTGGCGACGCCTCTTTATGATTTTCAGCTTCATCTACTCACAATTACGAGCTAACACTGACCTCGTCTGCTACGTCTTTTTCATTCTTGTGTATGTTTGGAACTTCAGCTTCTTGACACTGATGTTTCCAGCTGTCCTCTTCCTTTATGCCTTACTTGTGAACCCCGGACCAAGTCAATACTTTTGGTTAGCCATGCTAATTTATATCGAGTTCAATATTCTATTGCAATATTGTTATCAGATCCATCAGCAGCATTGTTCTGATCAGTATATTCCACCTTGGTTAAAGAAGTTCGGTATTCCAGGGGGTGAGATGACGCACTCGTTTGTTCTTAGTGTCCTCCCGCTTTTCTTGGTTTATCTAGCAACTTTAGTGCAGAGTTCCATTAAAGCCCGCGATGGTGAGTGGATGCTAGTCACTGAATCTAGTCCCTTTACATCAAGTCGGCGTTTGCTGGACCAGGAGAATCAAGCTGGTCCGCCAAGTAGGTTGACCATGTCACAAAGGATGAGGGCGTTGGTGGCACAGATTTCAGGCTGGTTCACTAGTCTGAGGCTGGGAATGTTGAGGTATTTCCAGGCTTTGACAAATGGTAGTGAAGCTCCACCTCATTTCGTCCAGGTCTCCTTGGATGTAGGCAAATGGCCTGAGGCAGGAATACAACCTGAAACAATAGAGTCTGGGTTCAATCGCCTGCTGGCGTCTGTACGCCAGCCAAGGTTGCCCAGTTCTGACGATTCTAGCATGAATCACAGTAGTCGAGTTCGAGTAGAAAGTATTGAGAGCAGTCCTGATAGACCTCAAGTTGCCCTGGCTGTTTTAGAGGTCATATATGTTGCTTCACCTCAAACATTTTTGGCGGATTCCCATCATATCTCCCTCACTCCTGCTCGTGACTTAGCTGACGAGCTTCTGAGAGCAAAAGAGGAAAATTTACTCGAAGAGACCAGATTTCCGTACCCGATCTTGTCCGTAATACCTGGAGGAAAGCGAGAGGTGGATTTGTATGCCTATATTTTTGGAACGGAACTCCTCACATTTGTATTTGTGGCGCTCTTTTATCAACCCCTTATGAAGCATAGCTCTGGTCTTTTTGATGTTACCCAAGTGGAGGACCAATTTCCGAAGGGTTTCATTATTGTACTGATGGTACGTTTCATCCCGTTTCTGGCTGTGCTCAGCCGTTTGCAAATTGCGTTTTTTTGAATTAGTTTACACTTGAAATGTTGTGGAAGGTCAGAAATGTAGAAGCAGGTTTTGAAAGTGGAGTCTTCTATTTGCTGATTTTGAGCTACTTTCATAACCTGGTTCTACATTCATGAGCTTCCCATTATACTTCAAATGAATCGCTTCGCGTAGAGGCACAATCTCGTAATTCTCTAAAATAAGTAGCTGGTGTGTTTTGTCTCAAGTTTGCAATAAAAGTGCTGGACAAGATTTTTTTAACGCTATGCATACTAACACAAGTCGGGTATGTGAACGGCTGGTGGTTTTCTGCAGACTTTGTTCTTCCTGATCGTAGTGGATCGGGTGCTCTACCTGTGTTCATTTGCATCTGGGAAGGTGATTTATTATCTGTGCACCCTAATGCTGTACACAGGTTATGTGTCACAATTTGTGTGGAGCATTGAGGATCATGAAACGGTGGAGGCAAAAAATAAACATGAGTTCCGGCTCTTACCGCTGAGGATATTCTACATGATGAAGGCCCTTTCTCTAGCTTTACAAGCTTTCCAGATAAAGTATGGTCTCCCTCACAAGAGCGCCTTATATGGGCAATTCTTGGCGAGAAAGGTGAATCTTATGAGCTGGAACTGTTTCCGCCTATACCGTGCACTGCCGTTTCTTTTCGAGCTCCGATGCGTACTTGACTGGTCTTGTACCACAACAGCTCTCAATATGTATGACTGGCTTAAGGTACGTCTTTTTAACTTCATACCTTCGTCATTCCTTTTGTGTAAATGAAATAATCAAAGTCTTGTTATCCTAGCTGCACAAGTTCTAGTGATTAGCAGCAATAATCAAGATCTGAGTGTAACATTGCAGCTGGAGGACATCTATGGGAGTCTATTTCTAGTGCAATGTGATAACAAGCTCAACCGAGAGAAGCATCGGTTAGGCGAGAAGCAGAGCATGTTTATCAAATTCTGTAGTGGAGTTCTTCTCTTTGCAATTCTGATTGCTGTCATTTGGGCTCCCATGCTGGTATTTATTTCTCCTTTTAACGCTTATTTACTTCCGCAGTATCCAGGTCTTGTCGTGTATACTTTACTAATTATTTTCTCTCATTTTAGATTAAAATTTGGTCTATGATTTCCTTTAATTGTTAAATTAAGTATAATATCTTGAAAAATAGAAAAATAGAAAAAGCCTATCTTGATAACTCTTCTGACTGTCGTCTGAAGCTGTGTATTCTAATTCATTGCAAATTGAGGTTTGATTTTTTGGCCATTTCGATTGCGTATCTTATGATTGTTTACTTTTTCTCATTTCTCAGAGGAGTGATAGCTCTTTGATTGAATTTTCTTTGACAGATCTACAGTAGTGGAAATCCAACAAACACCCCAAATCTTGTGATGGACGTTCACGCGGGTATTGCAGTGAAAACAGCGGGTGGAGTTTTTAAGCTTTATGAGACAGGCCTGTGCCATAATCACACACTGACGGGCACTAGATATCCAGATGAGCATCGTAGTGTTTTGGCTGGATATGATCCCCGTGATGTCCAAGTTATTTGCTGTGAACCTGATGGGGCCTCTCTTTGGCTTATTCCTCCGTCTACGCTTAAAAGTTTGATACATTCTATTGATTCTGATGACCTTGTCTTTAGCTCTTGGTGGGATTTCCACCGTGAGCGTCCCAAGGAAAAGGAGTTGGCTTCATATGCACTGCAGCCTCAACAAGATAAGAATGTGTTACCTGACCAGTTGAAGGCTGTTCTGAATGGAACCTCTAATTCCATTTACATAGACAAGCTCTATCCACAATATTTTAGAGTACCAAGTTCTGGAGATGTGCATATACTTGAGGGTTCTAATGTAAGTACTTCGTGTCTTTCTTTCTTATGTAGCGATAACTTGAATGAATCCTTATGGAGCATGTTGATGCCTTCTCATCAGAAAATAGTACATGTATGGACTTGTGCAAAATCTAGAGCTGTTGAGGGTTTCGGCTATTATTTCAGGACATACAAGGGCTGCTGGTTCTGAGCTGATTTTCAATCTATGTCGATGAACTTTAAGGTACTGACGTTAATTTCCATTCTTATGCTCTGAATGTTGCTGTCAGGTTTATATCTCCGGAAACTTGACATTGAAGCGCGAATTCGGACAGGCATGGTGGTCTTTTGAGAGCGATATTAGTCTTGCAAATGATTGTGGATCAATGATGGGTCCAGCAGCCATTACAGTTTCCGAGGAAGTTCCTCCAAGTAAGCATTGTTTCCGTAATTAATTGTAGTATTGATTCTGACAATCAAAAGAGACGAATCGATCAGTTTTTGGTCATTGGACCTAATTAATTGACGATTTTGCATGTGCAGAGGGTCTTCTGGGTGAGACACTCAGTAGATTTAGCATTTGGAGCTTGTACATTACATTTGTATTGGCAGTTGGGAGGTTTATTCGGTTGCAGTGCGCCGATATCCGTATGCGAATACCATATGAAAATTTTCCTGCTTGTGACAGGTGCTGTGCTTTTTACCTACACCTAAGTTGTATACTATTTTACTAGAGGGCTCCCGTGATTGATTGACTGCCTAATCATGATATCAATTTAACTTTCTAAGGTGATTGTTGTCATTATTCCTTGGGCTCTCGTCCTTGCATACACAACACGTAGCATTCAACTAACTTCATTTCTTTTCATGTTCTACTAGAAGACTCAGATGTTCATGGTATTAACATTGTGTTGGAACTGTAGGTTGGTTGCCATTTGTGAGGACATTTATGCAGCTCGTGCAGCTGGGGAGTTGGAGCTAGAGGAGGGTTTGTTCTGGACATTAATCAAAATATACAGAGCGCCTTATATTCTTATGGAATACACAAAAGTTGAGTAGTTTCCCTCGTCCCAATACATCTATAGAGATCTAGTGAGAAAGAAGGTTTAAATTAGACTATTGTATCATATTGACATATCCTCTTTGTTGCGGGAGAAGAAAAATTAGCCATTCATTTGTACTTTAAACATCTGTGAGGTATTAGTTGTATGTTCTATGATTAGAGGTGGAAACTCATCGCCTAGTGTCTTGTCTCACTCCGTGAAGTATGACAGGTGTAGAATTGCTGCAATAAGCAAATAGTAGGGTAGAAACAGTCTTTCAGTTCAACTTGACGTCTCAGAACATTGAGAAATACGTGGCTGGAAAGCTGTTCATTTTGAAATGCAGCATTGCAGACACTTCTTACAGAGCATTGTTTTGCACATTCTATGAAGGAAGATGGGTATTAAGAGATGATTGCATGAAAAGGAAAATGTGTTAATTTGGAATGATCTAATCTCCAGTAGATGAGATTATTTACTAGCGTGGTATTAGGTTGAAGTGTTATACCATACATAGAATCATGCTTGCATTTAAATGTAATGATTGATGGTAGAAGTCATTGGTAGTTTTCAATATTAATTCATTAATGTTAAACTTCTTTTCAATAGTATTATCGAATTAATGTAGTTATTTGAAGATAAAAGAAGTGGTGATAAAAAGCTTTAATGGTATGGTTCGTTGTTGATTAAAAGTTGCATCTACTTCTTTTGATGCAAGATAAATTTGTGTAGAAAAGATATTTGATGAACCTTGTTTATTTGATCAATAAATAAGCTTGAATTTGAATTTTGACAAGGATATGCTTTAATGAGATTGGTTACTATTCAAAATACATGTTGACATGAAATACTTGAAGTTCTTATGATTTGTATATATAGTGATTGGATTAAAAGTGCTTTTTAAATAATGACACTTTTTGTAACAAATATACGAGTAGAAAAAAATTCTTTGTCATCAATCTTATAATTGATCTTGGTTGTTGAAAATTTTCTTAAATGAAAAACTATTAGGTGAAGTTTGTCATCTATTCCCATTTATGACAATATAACATCAAAAGTAAAGTCCAATGCATCTATTTTCATAAAAAATATTTTTAAAAAGTTGATTCAATATAAGATTTGTACAAAAATAATAGCTGTCTTTAAAGTTTCTAATGTTGCTTTTGCTTCTTTATAAGTCAAACATATAATTGAAGCTACAATTTGAGAAAAATTCTTAATAAAGATCGAATAATAATTAGCAAATTTCAAAAAACATAGATTCTTTACCGTTTTTGACATCCTCAAATCTATAATAGTTTGGATCTTCTTAAAATTTATTATAAGGCCATCATTGAAATAATATATCCTAAAAAGTCAACTTGAGTAGTATAAAATACACACTTTTTTATCTTGGCATATAGTCCTATATTTCTAAGTTTTTGAAATATGCCATAAAAATAAAGTTCATATTCTTTTGTACTCTTAGAATAGATTAAAATATCATCTAGATAACAAACAATAAAATCATCTATTTTTTTTTTAAAAGATATCATTTATTAGATGTTTAAAAGCTATTAGTACATTTGCAAGTCCAACATATATGACATTACATTCAAAATGCTGATACTTGGTTCAAAATGTAATCTTTTATTGATTTCTTTTTTTAATGTATACTAGGATGTATTCTAATTGTAGATCTATTTTCATATAAATCTTAACTTGATTCAATTGATTAAGAAGTCTAGATATGAATGATAGAGGATATCTATTTTTGATAGTAATCTTATTGAACCCTTGATAATCTACACATATCTTCAATGATCTATTATTTTTCTTTATAAAAAAGATTGAAGCTCTTACGAAAAATTTTGAATGGTGTATGAAATTCTTTGTAAGATTCTTTTAAATTTATTCTTTGAGTTCATCCAATTTATTTTGCAATAAACTAAAGATTGATTCAAATGGCAATTGAATTCTTTTTTGAAGATCAATTGAGCAATTATAAAGATGATGTTTCAAAAGAATATTATATTATTTTTAAAGACATCTTGATAATCTTGATATTGCCTTGGAATGCCACATAATTTTTTTTTTACTATTAGAAATAGGTATAGTATAAATAACACAAGATACATATTTTTTTTGTAGCATAGAAGAACGACCTTATACCTATAAATAAGTATTTAATTGCACTAAACTTTAAACTTTCTATTTCATTGATAAAATTCTTAATTTTATTTTAGAAAAATTTAAGACTATAATTAATCTAATCTATTTGAAGATTATATTTTTATATCAAAAAATAAGTGAATTAGAAGAAGATTTAATAATATTAAATATCACAAAGCTATTATGATTCCTAGTTGTTACTTCTATAGGATAGAATTCATGGGTAATATCTCTAATAGACAAAAGATCACCATCTATGACATGAATAAATTTAATTTTCTTAATTACAAATATGATATATCTTTGAACAAACTCTTCATCTAAGAATAAGTTGAAGCTCTTGAATCTAGGAAGGAAGAAGCTTTGTAATGTTTAGGTCCTAAAGTAACATCTATTGTGAAATAAAGAGAAGGTTTATAAAAGAGAATAGAATCTTAACTAGTTATTGTATAAGGTTTGAATTGCATAATTTCTTTTGTAATTTGATAAACTTATTTTTGACATATTGTCTTCTTTGACATCCATACTTCTTATTTTGTGGTTGCATTGCTTCTATATATAATATTGAATAGTGTATTTAGATTCTCCACAATACAAGTACAATCCTTTCTTAACAATAATGAATCTTTTTTTGCTTAATAAGAAATTTGAAATGTATCATATCAATTTGCATATCTTTCACTTCTAAATATATTTTTTAAGAAGATAATGGTGTTGCCATTGAATTATAAAGACATTAAAGCATACTCATGCGACTTTCAAATTAAAATTCAAAAAGATAATTAAGACACTTTATAGCAAAGCTAATTTCTTGACTCAGTGTTTGAGGAATCAAGTGAATTGAGCATCAATTTCTTTATCTCATGTTGTAATCCATGGAAAAATATTAGGGATATGAACCTCAAAGAACTAAAATATCAATATATTCTTGTGTCACTCAAAAAGACTAAAAAACCAATAAAAAATGGTGTAGTATTATACTAGAATGGCTATTGCCTAAGATAAGAAGAATAAGAAGTCTCGGAACAAGATTAAAGACTAGAAAGGCATTGACAAAAGTGAAGAAAGCTTCATTCTTGCCTCTATATATATTCTTAACTAGAAGTTATATGGCGATATTTTATAGGACCTCCAAAATATATAACACACATATCTTAATTTGCAAGACAAGTTTTTTTATATGTACACCACATAGTTAGCTTGTTTGCATGCTATCAACACATGATTAACTTATTGAGCAAGTTTTTAACCTATCAATCAACTATAAATATATATAAAGTCAAAACAACATCTATTATGAAATATTATGAAATAAATCTATTTTTACTTATTTTTATTTAATCATATAGGTAAATATTAAAATAAATATTTATGTTTGTGACATTATCCTCTCTTTTAGGAATGAATTCTATAAAAAACAGTCATCATATGTTGAGAAAATCTAAGATATAGCAAATTATATTTGTCATATATTTTAATCTTTATTTTCTTTGAAGATGGTTGATAGGTCCTCTCAACCATCAATAATGTCCTATACTAAGGTAAAAAGACCATCCTAATATTTGATTGTTATTGAGGCCTTCGTAACTCCCTTCAAATAAAATATTTGAAAATATTGTCAAAAATTATTCCTATCTCTGATAAAATCACTAAATATCATGAGTCTCTTCTAAAAACATGATAACAAACATGTTTTATCTTGCCATTTATACAAAGAAAGATATATCATCTTGATTACATTGTCTTTAAGATTATCACAATTATAATATCTCATTTACTAAATGAACAAGTGATAGCTTTTGAGTTGAGTCTGTTGGTTGTTAGTTCTCCATCTCTTTAATGTCACAAATATACAAAAATAACAAAGAAGAATAGAAGGTAGAATTCTATCTTCCATAGATTTTTTTTTTTTATTTTTTTTTTTATTTTATATGTAAGATTTGCTATTTTTTCTTTTGATTTTGATGGATATTATTAATAAAAAGGCTCAATCTTCTTTATTGCATTTGTAAGTTTCTTTGTTAGCTTCTATGTGTGTTCAATAATATCATATTTGTGCCAATGAACAAGATGTTCTTTTCTATTTTGGCATTGCTTTGAATCTAAGATTGGTTCCACCTCAAATTTTTGATTATTATCTACTTCTATAGGAAGAAGTGGCATTTTTCTTTTTCTTAAAATATTCATTGTCTTATATGGTTTAAAAAGAGATATGTGGAATACAAAATGGATATTCTTAGACTTTAGTAGATGTAATCAATAAGCAATAAGATTGACTTGTTCACAAATAGGAAAAGGTCCAAGCCTATAATAGTCCAATTTGTCACAATGATGAATAGTTTTAATATTATAATAGAGTAATCATATCTTATTATTCACATTAAATTATGATTGTTCCTTGTAATAGGTATCTACATTGACTTTTTTTTATTCTTGAGCATCTTTTAACTATGTCTTTATAATTGTATGTAGCTCTAATAAATAATTTATCAAATCTTCTGCTGCAAGATTATCAACTTTTGAAAAGTGAAAAGTATCAAGTTGTAGATGATAACCATAATTGGTAAAAAAAAAAGATATTTTTTAAGTCAAAAAATATATCAAATTATTATATGGAAACTCTGCAAATGGTAAAAGAGTTCTTCAGTCATCTTGATGATAATTGATAATATACCTCAAATACTACACCAAAACTTGATTCACTTCTTTTGTTTGCCCATCAATTTTAAGATAAAAAATTAAAGATAATTTTATATCTACCTTTAAAATCTTAAAAAAGATTCTTTAAAGTCTTGATACAAATTGAGTTGTCCTATCCAGTATAATATTTTTGGACAATCCATAATAGTAATAGATATTGTCAAGAAAAATATTAATTTACTTACTTACTTACTTAATTAATTAATCATTAATTCACTTATGATAGATTTCATACATGGTATAAAATGTGTCATCTTAATAAAATAATTTACTATCACAAATATAAAATCATACAAACTTGAGATTGAAAGATCTATATTAAAATCCATAGAAACAAAAGACCATGGTTGTTTTGAAATAGGTAATAACTGAAAAAATCTATAAGGTTGATGATGAGGAGTTTTTGATCTTGAATAAATATTACATGACTGTGCAAAATCTTTAATTGCCTTCCACATTTGAAGCCACTAAAAATCTCTTCATATTAGCTTTAAAGTTTTATAGTATCCAAAATGTCTAGTGTTGTATGGCATGATTTTCTATTTGGGAATATACCATGTATTTATTTG